TTGCCCTTTTGGACTTTTAAAAAGCGGACTGTCCAGACGTGGATCTAAACCCTCTGGAATGCTGTTAATAAAGAGGAATGGGACAAAATACCTCTTGTTACTAAAAAAAGCTAAATTGTCTTTGAATCTTTCCCTGTGATCGAGAATGAAATTTGACTTTTCACCACATATTTTAATCTAAGCAAAACCACTTCAATACTTTCAAACATCAAAAACTGAACAGTCGCCAACCAAGACATGGTTTTAGATTTTGGGCAAAAACAGGATGTTCTCTTAGGTGAGTTCATGAACAGCAACTAATGTTGATGAATATTGTGAACATTAAAATGATTTTTTATATCCATCCAAAACAAAAGGAAGGAAATTTAGATACATAGTGGTTGCCAACTCTACAATGCTTGGGCACATACCAGTGTCACAATTTCTGTTCTGGAAAAATTCAAACTGGTCTCAGATCAACATGTCGTCACAGTGATGGACTTTAAATGGCCAGCAATTTTTTTTCTTCTTTCTTCCTCTAAAGAAATATTTCAAATTTTTGGCGCCCTTTTGCTGCAGGTTTGACGATCGCGAGATAAAAAGTCACATCATTTAAACCAGATTTTCTTAAAGTGTGGGCCGATGGGAGTTGCTGGACCTGCAGCAAAAAGGCGCCAAAAATTTTAGCACTTTTGATATTTCTTTAACTTATTATAATTTTACAATTACCAAATATTTTTACACAATGTATTGAAAATAGATAAAGATAAGACTATGCAGACAAAGAAAAAAACGAAAACGTTTACACGCATTCTTTTTATAATATAAACGTTCATTTTCCTTGCTTTGCACATGACGCTTTCATTTCGTCTGTTACTTACTTAAAATTTTCACATTGTTCCATGTCTTAAAATTAGAAATTAAAGTTAATGACCTAAAACTGAAATAGTATATTACAGTACAAATGAAAAACTGACAGTTTCACTTACGCATGTGTCGGATTTGCGCAATGCTTATGGGGGTCCCACAAAATTTTCGTAAATATTATGGGGTCCTGAGGTCGCAAAAAAATCTCAATGATAAAAAGGGGTGCAACTGAAAAAAAGTTTAAGAAGCCCTGATTTAAATAACAGGTGTGATAATTTTATAATTCAATAATACAAAAACTAACCACCCAAACTTAATAAATATTTGCATAATGGCAGTCTTCACACAAACAGATACTGTTGTCTCATACAGAATGCCATCAGAGTAGATCTTGCCCCATTAACCATACTATTTTCGGAACTACTCTCATAATGCACCCTCAGGTCGCCAAATTTCTCGACAAACATTTTTGGCGAGAAACTCTGATGCCAATTTACTGTCTAAATTTTTTGTCTACATTTAAAACTTTAAGCCTAAAATATCTCCAAAAACTCGGTTTTCACACATGCAAAAACCACGTTTTGAACATGCAATTTAAGCTGAAAACCCGAAACAAAAACGGTTAATCTTCAGATTATGGTAACTTTGCGATTTTTTGGCAAAAGTTTGGCGACCAACCCTGCTACAGCAACCTGCTAGTTTTTTTTTTTTTTTTTTTTTTTTTGAACGCCATTTTGTTTTCATGAAGTAAAGGCTTTTTTTTTTTTTTTTAACTCAACATTTTTTTCCAACAATCTGCTAGCCGAATTACGCTTATGCTAGAACTTTTGTGGAACAAAAAAGTGCTTAATCATGATGAAGATTAGGTGCAAAATTGGGAGAAAGTGCAGAATCGCCCCCCTGCTTGCCGCATTTTTAAGAATTGCACATACACAGTATCATCCATATACACGTCGACCTATTTTCACTTAAAAAAGCATCCCAGATGGCATTGTGCACACTCTTGACTTTATCTATGTACACTGCTAAAGTCCTAGCTAGTAAACTTTATCGCCTTACCAAAATGTCGCCAAACTACTTGTTACAATATATTCCAAACATTAGCCACAAAAACAAAAACTTAAATTTCTAACCAAATATATTTGACAAGAATCCATGTAATTACTGATATGTTTTATTTTTAAAAAATCATCTACGAATTGCAATTGTGCAGAAATCAACAAAATAAACTAAAATTGCAAACAATTCAAATAACAACAGAAATTCATAGTAAAAAAACAATGAACATTACATTCTACAAAATAAAAACAATAAAATAAAATGCACTTACCGTAATACATACATGAGTAAAATTTTGCCAGTCACACAAAGTCTATCAACAAAAGTACCACGATTTTGCTATATCACGTCTTTCTACGATTCAAAATTTCGAAAGTAATGATAAAAACTTCCTCCTAAATTAACTTACTACGCAAAAACAATGATCCAAATCGACTCCGCTGACAGTCGCATACTTTACAAGCAAAATTTGACTGCAAACCCACACACACACAAATCTATCAGAAACACATTCTTCGTGCGAGTTCTCATATCAGCTCTGCATTTTGGACACGCCAAACTCAGTTTTAAAAGTCCTGATTCCTACAGAAATTCCAAAAATGCACTTCTATCTGCATAAACACACCCGTGAACAAAAGCCTCGTTAACAACTCCAACATCGTATCTTTTAATACTAAATTTACTTCACACACAATCTAAAATACACGACTGAAATCTTGCCACCACGTCTCTCATTGCAACATTCAAAACACGCATGACACAAACCAAAAAGCAATTAAACCACTGCAGCAAAAGAGTTAAGTTTCAACATCAAAAGATGTTGCTATACAAAACAGCATCGTCCACCAAACCATCCCACAGCACAGAATCGTGCCAAAAACCAGCGCAAAACACGCACCACTACACTTGGTGATCTTAGGCCACATATAAGAGTAAAGCCCTAGTTTTTTACGTATGTTATATCAAAAAAGTTTTTACTGGAATAATGGCTTCAGGGCCTGTGCAACCACACCAGGTGGCAAAATTTTCAAAATTTAAAGAGAATTAGGATTAGGATCTGTAGAGATTGCACTGGGAGGCAAAAGTATAGCATTAACCTCGATTGGCCTTTTCAAGGCATCTTCTAAAAAGTATTTCTGGTGCCCTAGAATTTTAAAATATTAAATGGATAAAACAAAGGTTTCTAGCAGTTGTTATTTATATATGATTATTCACAAGTACATAGAAGCACACAACACAAAAGGAATTTAAAAACAAGCAAAATAAAATTTTAAAACGTACTCAGAGGAACAAAACATGGTAAAAACTTTCATCAAAAATCAGAAACAGTTGAAAATAATCAAGCAGTCTGTATGGCCTGAATTAAATATCTAGCAGTATCTTTCAAAAATATTCCTCGCCAACAATGGACAGTTTTCAATGTGTTTAGCATAACCTCAGTATCACATACTACATAATTAAATGACGAAGGAATTCAAATCTACAAATAACTTTATAAACACTCATGTCCCATCTTCAAATGAAAAACTGCAACATCGTGTTCTCTTCAGAAACTAGAAATTTTAATGAATGAGTTTCCTCAATCATTTTGATTTGTAGTATTTGTTTAGTTTTATAATTTTTATTTATAAATGTGAGAAAAACAAGAATAATGAAGCCATTCTTGATGACAGTGAAAAATGCAACACAGTTTAACAAGAACAGTATGACACTTGAATATAAGACAAGATTAGTCATCTTGACAAACATTTCTGAAGATAAAGATAATTTATGCAAGATTTAATTAAACTACTTTAAACTTTGCTAATATTGCTTACTTAAAATATCTGAAGAGCTAATTTTTTATACCACCTATGTATTGTTTACAAACCATTTTCAGGTTATCTATATTATAGACGATTAGGAATTCAGTGTAGCATTACATATTTACACCAATTCAATACAGTCAAAAGTCGTTAATCCGTACTTCAGCGATTCCGGATTATAGATCATCAGTTTAAATCTGGTAAGATGGCATGCAGAAATTACAAAATTAAAAATATGAAACCGTAATTTATGAAATAAAGAACAATAATGATCTAAAGGGTTTCAAAATTTACAAAAAGAAAAAGCTTAATATTTATTTGTTTACTTTATTAAACATTTCTTTCAATGTAAGTTGTTTAAGTTGCTTCGTTTCATGCGATAATACATTCTCTTTAATTCTATTAAACAGACATAATTTCTTGTTTAGTTAAAAAGTCCCACTGTTCAAGTCCTAATTGCCGTGTCGAGAATACCGACTAATTTGTCAATCGAAATTTTTTCGTTTTCAATAGCCTCTGTGTCACTTTCTTCACTATCGGAAGCGAATTATAATGACGAACTTGATTTGAATCACATCAAAGACGGAGTACATCGAGATAAAATACTGCATTTAGTAAGGAATGATAAGCCAAATAAAATAAAAACATCTGCCCTGAAGATAAGGATAGTGCTGACAGATCAACATCCAATTCATTGTGCGCCGCGGAGTTTCGCCCCATTCTGGTTTATGGGTGTCCGAATTAACTACTTTTGACTGTATTAAAGTTAACCTTCCAGCATGCGCGCGTGCGTCGTACTTTTTACGACATCCGTTATTTTACAGTTTTTGGCACGAAAAACGACAGAAATGAATGAATATTATTAACAAATTTGCTAAGAAATAAAATATTAATCTTATTATTGCAAAATACAAATGATATCACATTCAAATATAAGTACATTATTTTTAAGTTCTTATGTTAGTGAGATGGAAATGCAATGATGTATTTCCTTATAGAAAATTTTAAATTTATTATTTAATAATTATATTTTAAAATTGAATATTTTAAAATGAAATAACCGATGCAACGCATTAACAAAATTCATAACTCTTTCACAGTTATAGGAAATCCACTTTTGATGAATTAATAAATCATAATTTGTTGCTTTTTTCCTCCTGCAATACAGTGTTTATAAATACCAACGCTTTTAGCTGCAGAAAACACTAACTGTTAATTACTAGGACATTTCTAAATTTGTTATGTGGATGTCAGTTTATAAACATTAATGAAAAACAACAGTCACAAGTGTAAAGCTTTTTAAGACATTGCATCTTTATTCAGAAAACAATTAAGTCAAAGATTCATATGTAAATTTTGGCTTATTTTAAAATATATGCAATAACTAATTAATAAGTGGGGTAAGAAATGACTGAAACGTTTTAAAATACATTTAATTCAATACGAGCATCATAAATGTGAGGATTTTAAGGATCACCGAAGAAGCCACAAAACAATATACAATTCATGTTAAGACTCACAATATCTTAAAATAATCTAAAAGATAAAATATAACAAATTAATCACTTAGAGACATTTCATGTATCACTATTTACAGATTACTAACAAAAATTCATTATGAACTCAATTTCACAGAAACTGCACTATTTCATATTATAAAATGTTATCGGCAGTTTTCAGATAACATTAAAGCAAAATTAATTAAAATCAAACTCATGTACACTTTATACATAGCTTAATAAATATTTTGAATCAATGATAAAATCAAAAAAAATCTATGTTACAGCAAAAACTTCAATGTTTTAGATTATGAAATACTTTAACATATTTTATTTTCTAAACAGCCATATTTCATTCATTTCCCTACTGCTTACAATAAATACTTATGGCTCGTGAAAGTTCACAAAACAACATCTCTCTCATATTTTCATGGTAAAAAGTTCTTAGAAACATTACCATACTATAACTTATTAAAATACTCAACAGATTAATTTCATGTACATGATACACTCTTACTTTAATAAATACTCCTCAAAGAAATTCGGGGAAATTAACAAAGCTAAAGTCTCAGTATTTTAAACAATGAGATGCTTTCAAAGATAACATCAAACAATGTAAATGATTATTTTTTTTATGAAATCCTTATGTATTGATGAAATGCTGAGTACTGCAACATTCTTAAGTAATCTTAAAACTAAAAATTCTATAAAAATTATAATAAGGAATTAATTTTACTGAATAAGCACAAAAAAATCCAGCACAATTCCATTTTCCTGAAGTCAAAAAAAAAAAAAAAAAAAAAAAAAAAGAAAAGCCTAGACAGCCCAAGAAAATAATATGTGATAGTGATTAAAAACTGTCTAAAATTGCTTCCACATACTAACTGTACATTTAGGTATGGATGGCAAATGGTTGTAAACAAAGGTATAGTTTAATATAAACAAAGTCAATGACTCTCCCAGCTTCAGAAGTAACAATACCATGTATTGGAAGATTAGTTTTAATAATGAAAACATACTTTTTTAGTTTTCAGACTAGCAAACTATATTTTTTTTTAAAATGAGTATACCGAAGACAAAGTTCTAGGCTGTGTAATGAGATCACAAACTTAGATGAAGTGGCACACATTTCTTTCACATACAAAGCTTACAAATACATTTAAACATTTTGATAACATGTTTTACACATCTCCAATTATAGTTGTTACCTACACGCTATATCAAACATTTACAACATAATAAGCTTTTTCTTCTACCAAAACTGAATCTAAACCTGATATAAACTTGAAGCGCTTTTTTATAATTTCAATCCTAAACACCATCATATGCAATGACATAAAATTTAATGACTATGTGCACCCTGCAAATGTAATAAGTTCTTGATTGAGTATATACAACAGTTCACTGAAAGATAGGGCACACTATAAAGGCATCAAATCTTGGAGATTTGTGTTGTCTACTGCACAATGTGCACAAATCCTCCAGCTGCTTTTTCACTGTGAAGAATGTCATTTAGGATGGGGAAAAAATGGAATTACATATAGAAAAAGGGAGTTAAGCTGGCCTATATGCAGAAATAATGTTGCACAAGAAATAATACATTTCAAAATGACTCACTTAGAAAAAAATTGTCACTAACATCAGAAATATCATCATCAGAATCTGACCAGTTATATCCAATATCTTCCAATTCCAAATGCATGAGTATGTTTTCTTCTCGAAATTCCAAGTAATCCCATAAGAATATTCTACCCATGTAATCTAACTCACCATCTTGATTCTGCCTTCGCCTTCTAGTCGGCAGAGGTAATTCAACTTTAGTACCATCAGGCTTCGCATGAAGATAGAAACATGCACCACCAAAGGGACATGTCCCTTCACCTTGTTTAAAATACTTGCATGGCTTTTTGCTTAATGCTACTTTATATTCTGTGATAAGTTTCTTCTTTTCTTCTTCAGTATCAACCCAGTACTGACTCGGCGTTATAAAATCGGATGGTACCCGACATTCTGGACAAGCCCGTATAACAACTGGATCCAAAACATTATCAATCTGCTGATTGCTTTCAAACTGCTTCGTTCTTCGCCATGTCCTAATACAAGTCAAACAAAAAACATGATTACATTTTTCAAGGATACCAAAGCGTCGCTCAGAAATCAAGTCTTTTTCCATTACTACATCCATACATATACCACATATTTTATCACGACTGCGTTGGACTGCAAATGACAATTCCATGTCCTGCTCCAGCTCTTTTTCACATAATTCTATATGTGCTTTTCTTTGCCTTTCATCATATGGATGCAAGCATGCACTCCCACACAATTCACACTCATCACCATGAACATAAGGACATTGGTCATTATATGGACAATCTCCTTGCATGAAATAGGAGCACAATTCTAAATTATTTCTATCAGGCTCAGTATTTGTGACCACAGTATTCGCTTTCACAGTATCTGCATATGATCTACCAGTTTTCGGAATAAACTCGGGTGCATTAACCCAGTTTGGAGAATTTGGCCCATATGAATTTCTGCCAGAAGTATTCTTTTTTATTACATTTCGATTCAAAGGATTAAATTTGGGTTGATAGATATCTTTCCTTTTCGCATCCACCTTCGTGTTAGTGTTTTCGCTGATTTCCGGACGCGACCGAGATGGTCCAGGTAAATGCTTATCATTCCGAGTAGAGGATTTCGAAGGTACGTCATTTTTTATTCGTACATGATCATAAATACAACGTTCGCCGTACTGGCATATGCCTTGCAAATAATAACGGCATACTTTATCAGGTATACGACGTGTCCTGTCGTGAGAAAATGGACATCTATCGCCTTCTCGGCAAGATGAAAATAAAAAAAAACGACATACCACATCGTCCGGACTTACGGATGTACCTTCCGCCATTAAGAACTGCAATTTACACGCAACTCTGATTAACTATCACCAAACCTCATAATGTCCGAAAATACAGCAGTGCCATTTTTTGGCTACAACAGATTAGAAAGCTAAGACATGGTATTCCTCCGCAGAGTCATATGATTGGTTATACTTCCTGGCAACAACATCCTGTTACGGAGCTCTACGGCCATCTTAGAATTCAAAACGTTTTAAGATGTAAAATAAACTCATCAACAAACAATACTACTTTTTAAGTATTAAAATTGTTACAGAATATGTACTTTAAAAAACATAGAAAAGCAATACCCTCAAAATTGCTCGTAAAGTCAGGCACTATATTCAAGACTTTTAACGGAAATTTTTCACCAAGTGCGCAGCACCCTTCTGCCATCTGGTGGCATGTATAAGTAGCGTTTCTATATTATTAAGCGAAATTCCAAATAATTTATAGTAATTTACTAATTGATATTTATATGCACCATGTTACTACAAAGAGTAGTTTACTAGAGAAAGAGAGAGAGAGAAATATATGGTAATTTTAGTGCGGATATATATCACGAATGGTTTACTACAATAAGTGTATAAATTGTCATTAACTGTCGACCGTAGCATGCTGATCGTTTAAAAATAAATAAATAAACAGAAGAACAAGCAGGTGTTTCAAGACTTGTGATATAAGTTGCTGTGGAAATTAGTTTATGAATTCTGATAACTTTATAACTAAAAATTTGTTCGACATTCACGCTGTCGTATATTAGTTACTTTTTTTTCTTTCGTTTTCAAGAATTAAATAAATTTGTTTTTGCAAGTAATTGAAATGCCCATAAATGCAATGAAAGCAGCATTTTACTTAAACGTTATTCTGCGTAGTGCATGTTGTGTATAATATACAAGTAGTATATAAAATATTCATGGATAAGATGCCAATTACAACATCTGTTAAGAAAATTCGCCTCACCGATTAACATGTAGTGAAGTCGAATTGACTTATCGTAGGCAAAATAAATAGATATATTAATTTATATAATAAATTCTGTCGATTGGAAAGCATTACTAATGAAACTACCTTTTACTGCCTATAGTGTGAATCACACAGTATATAACTGTTCACATCTGTAGCTATAATAGTTAACAATCTTTGAAATATTGAATTGATACATTATTCGAATGGGCAAAGTATTTTATCAGCCTATGGGGATTGATGTCTCCATGAAGGGCTTTCTAAGGAAATTTGTGTGTATTTATCATAACACATGAAGAAAGCCCCATATAGTCAGCATGTCTGGCTACAGGAATAATTTATAAATCAATGACTTTACTGTGATAGCCACAATAAATCAAAATTATATACTATTTTTGTCTAGGAAGTGAAAACTAAAAATATCATATTGTGGTAAAAGTATATTTACGGTTACACCTTGGCAAAAATTGGTGATTTTTGGCAGTACGTAGATACCGAATTTAATTCCCGCTACACAAAGACAAAATAACAAGTCGATCTATTTTCACTTAAAAAACATCAGAGAATTGCACAAAACTGCGCACTCCCTCGATTTTGTCCATGTCGATTAAAATATATATCGATATATTTTCTCTTAAAAAGTCAAAGAAGCACCCAATTCGAGGTAAAAGTATATTTACAGAACATTCAAACTACTCAGGTTACCAAAAATGAGACAACAACTTGGCGATAAATGAAACAATAACTTCACGGTAATACAAGGGGTATCCTTCAGTCTACTCTAACCAATATTGTGTTTTCCTCTAATCCAGTAACTCCAAGCAGAATGCTGATATATTTTTTAATAAAAATTCAACCGTTGGGACTTTTCGGTTATTACAGGTGCATGTAACAATTTTCAAAGTGGTAGCAAATATACATTTAAGGATGTGTTGTAAACAGAAAAACCTCTGTTTTTGACAGTTGATATTTTTTTAATATTAAAAAAACTAACTTCTGATGTATATCTTGAAATAGTAACAAATAATGATGTAGCAAGCCTATATTTCTAAATTGAAAAGTACTGCAACCTTAATAAAATCAACACTAATTTTAGCTTGAAACAGTAGGGAAATACAAATACAGTAAAATAAGTAAACAAAACTAAAGGAAGGGACACTGATATTAGATTTCTGAGATCAACTTTTTTAATTCATCAAAATTTTCTATTCTATAATGGATGGTTTGTATGTTTAATTCACGAACTTTATATACATTTAAAATGGTGCAGAATACAATGATTTTAACAGCTAAAAAATTATTAAATACAGTTGGCTAATGTTAATATGATTTTAAACATAGTAGCCTCTCCCAATATGAAATTGCTCTTAATTTTTACATCTGAGCAATAGACACTAATTTTTTATTAACTGAGGCAATTCAGTCAACTATTCAATCAGCAAGGAAGAGAAAAACAAATTAACAAGGATCTGCTATTTTCTGCTCCGCATTAAGTAACAAATTGTAAACCTGCATAGTAAACTAAATTTCTTTAAGCCTTATTTAATGTAATGAATGCATGGGACATGTTAAATAAATACGATAATAATAATTCAGTTGCCAAAAAAACCATACTGAAATAATGGCACTCTCCTGTTATCGGGACCAGAATCGGAAATACATGTGTGGATGTACTTGTTAAAGTATTCATGTATATATGTACATATGGTATGTTTATGTGTTTATACATACACACAATATACACATACACATACATTTCTGAATCTAGTCACGCTAACAGAAGAATACTGAAATAATTTATTCTGAAATTTGGGATATATGATGTCATTCATTACACATTATATTCACTATATCAGGAGTTCTCAACTGGTGGTACACGAGAGAAAAATAGGTAATGTTATGCTTATAAAATAATAATAAATATTTGAAAAGATATAAATTTTACCAGGGAAACAAGTCTGAGAGGCTGATATTGATATTCTTATAACTGGTAGATACTGTCCAGCCATATGGTAGGTAACATATCTGTGGTATATGCAATGTATAATAAAACATACGCCATAGACACATTGTATTGCATGCTAAAAGTGGGAGTTAGATAATTAGAATGTACTGTGTAGTCTATAGTGGTTCAACTCCAGAATAGTCCCACGAATTGGAAATATTTCAGGGTTTTTAAATGATCAATATTACTTCAAATTGTTAAATATTTCTAAAATTTAGGGAAATCCTTTTTAAAACAATAACCTATGATTCCAGATGATCTTCGTCTTGTGTGGAAGAGGTCATTTTAGACAGATTATGTTCAGTACCAATGCTTATTTATATTCTCAGTAAGGGCCTGCTCTATGCTTTCTGCCACCCTGTGCCTCCTGAATTGTGCCGTCTCATGGCCACACCAGATTCATTGCTCTGCTGTTGTCCTTGATTCTTAGTAATAATAGTCCCTTTCAGATGTGTTCATTAAGAGCAGGTTCACTGTGTTTTATTTTATTCTTTCAGAAATTATCCAAATGATTTTTATTCTACGCCATTCCCTAAATCAAATGCAACTTTTTTTTGGTAATATGTGAACGTAATGTAAATGTTGGGCAAATATTGAATAAAATTTAGAGACAGTTGCTACTAATTTATGGACATAATTATTTTCATTACCAAATAAATCTCTAAAAGCTAAGCACTTTAATTTGACAAATATTGTATTATGTCTGGACCATTCCTAGTGGGGGTGCAGCACATAGAAGTATGCAGGCTGCCAAAATCAGGGTGCATGGACTCTCGCGATACCCCACCTAAATTTTTTTAATTCATTTTAAGTACTTGTCACATGTAAGTACTTTTTATAGAATTTGCCATATGTTGAGTACAAAATAAAAATTTTATTAATCATCGAGCATTTTTTATTTAATTTGGGGGCAGCAATTTTTGAAAAGTACACAGACAGCCAATGTCCCTGTATTATGTAATTAATGGTACTGTTCTGTTATTGGTACCAGATTCAGATATGTATGTGCATATATGTGTATATGTATACGCACATACATTTGTAAGCACATATGTACATTGCATACGTGAACACATACATACATATATTTCTGAATCCAGTCCTAATATATATATATTTATACCTGATATATATATATATGTATATCAGGTGTATATATATATATATGAATTCCTGAGGTATTTAGAGGGTTCCTTGCCAGTGGGCTATAATTTACATTGGTCAAACTAAGAGATCCTTAAAATTTCGTGTTCAAGAACATGAGGCATATGTAAGGAAATAGGAAACACAGAAGTCTTCTGTTCCCCAGCAATGTTGATCCGACAGTCACAGTTTCCATTTTTCTGTAGCCAAAATTACTTAAAAAACACCTCCCATTTATGAATTAGATTTTCTAGAGACGTTTCACATTAAAAAAAAAAAAATCTTTCTATTCTAGTTAACGACCCTAATTTCAATCCATTTTTACCTTCAGCATTTAAGGAAATTATGTTTTAGTTTTCTTGTTTCATTAACAGAGGGCGAAAGTAGCAGGGGCACTAAAAACCCTAGCTACGACTCTGGAAAGTACCTTAACTCCTGTCTAGCTATTCTCAGCTTATCACTATATCTTATCTCATTCATTTGCTCTTTGGTAGCTGAGACTGATGTTTCGGTAAGACCATCAAAACTAGTCCTGTGAAAATTTGCAACTATAATGCTGATTTTTGTTGATTGACTTCTAAATTAATATACTGTAGTTTATTAATTAATATTCGTATAATAGTATTTATGCAAGAAGATTGTATGAAATAAAATATTTTGTAAAATTAACCAATATTTTTCATTCGGTTGGCATTAATTTACTATGATATCAGTTCATGTTAACAGGATACAGTACACAAAATAACAGGCATATAACCATACTATTAAGAGCTAAATTAGCGATTTTCTTAAGAATGAATAAACATAAATTATGATAACGTACATACATACATATACACACTTCAAATTAAGATGAATGAATTTAACTCTTATATAAGAGTTTTGCCAAGTTATAAATTTAAGGCATTTATTGATTTTTCAAATGATGTTTTTAAAAGAAACAGTGTGGTTATATTTACATAGACTTACCTATATTTTAAATTAGATGTTAAAAAAAGTGTACAGAAGAGTAACTTAATTAATCAGCTTCAGTTTTTAAAATGTATTTTCATAATAGTTTTTAATAAAGAAGAATTCTTAATGAAACAAGACATGAATACGTGCAGTACACCATTCTTTGAAATAGAGACAATTTAACAATTTTAGAATTAGAGACAATTTAACAATTTAAGTGCATTATAACGAGCTGAAGAATCTCAAAACAGTTCATAAGAAATAAAATTCATGTACATTCATTGGAA